GAATTGGGCGTGGATTGATACGTACGCGTATATATTCCATCCGCTCATACACCCACCCATGCATAATATCATCCATCCACACACATCTACACACCCAGGCACCCACCTACCCACACATGCATACCCACCCACCACCCCCGATGTTGACTTCGAAAGGATGGCAGAGGGAGAAAGAAGCGTCTTGTTGGAAAAAGCGCACCGTGATGAGGAGAGATTGCGTGAAGTGTTTCGTGAATATGCAACGAAAGGGCCCTGAAACCGAGCTCGACCTTTTCGCTTGAGCTGTGCAGGTGCACACGACCCGGCTGGCCAGGGTTTGGGGTTTGAGCTCCCGACTTGACAGCAGTCCAGCAGTCTACTTGGGCTATAATCAATCCCAACAGAGGCTTCAGCACCTGCAAAAAGGCCCTACTCACTTTTGCACGCGCACTGCATACGCCGAAGCGCAACTCCGCAGAACTAGTCATCTAAGCAGTCTTGCTACACTTCTGCCACAATTCGCAGAGGTAGAAACTCGCCGGGCCGGCGACTGCATGCTGAAAGTGGCGCCCGTTGCCTTGGGCCTTGTCTTCGCCCAGGCGCAGGAACATGAGGGCCCCGCGGCCGCCTTTGTAACGCATCGGCTCCACTGATCAGGCAGCTGCCACTCCTGCAAGCCTCAAAGGCCCGAGTGCAGCCCTGCTTTTTCAGTCAGGACTGGGTGCTGGCCTCTTTGTTCGCTCACACATGCTTGCCTCGTTTGGATCATTCCAAAAGCCATATCCTTATCGCCAGACTGCTTCACAACTCAGAGGGGTGTTGGGGGGTAGAGGGGGGAGGGCTTCAATGGCAACCATCAATGGTTTTTGTAGGGGCCGGGGGGCCGGGGGGGGGGGGGGCGGTAAACCAAACTCGACCACCACTTTCACCCTCCTTCTCACAGCCTTGATCCAAGCGAAGCAAGACCAGAGTGGCTCCATAAAACCTTCGGTGGCGTCAGGGGCGTCCCTTTGCTCGGTTTGGGGGCTGAGGAGTAAGGTAGCCATACCCTCACAGAGAGCCATGGCACTCTCCGTGAGAGGCAGATTGTGGCTTAGCCACGCACCTCCTCCCAGTTTCCCCCCCTGCACAGCAGCAACGGTTCCTTGGCCGCCCTACTCTTTCCCATCTGCGAGGCCGCGAGGCACCCAGAAGCAAAAACGGAGGTAGTCCGTCGGTAAACTATGCTGCGCACTACACACAATGGCATGTAAGGGCCTACTGTACCTAGCATAGAGCTTGTGCAAAAACTAAAACAATGGTCTTCTCTCGCTGTAAGGCTGAGCCATCAGCTTCAGCCCATGGTACGCCTTTGTCACCTGAAGCCTACATCACCCCAACACGTTGGGCCCGCAAAAATCAGATCCGGCGGTAGCCCTGTACATGATCGGAAGGAGCCCGGAAATGGTCCTTGCTCCTAGATCACCCTAAACCCTAAACCCTAAACTCTAAACCCTAAACCTCTTCATGTGAGAAGGTTGCATGGATCCAGTCATGAATCAACGGGACATCCCGGCTCAGAGCCTTCTTCTTCCTAAAGCGGCTTAAAACTTCCCTTCGGGGGCTCTGGCGAGGCCGTGGTTTTTCACATTGAGCCAGGGTCAAAATGACTTGTCAGACATGAGGACATGGATGTTATGGCGGTCGGCTTCTGCGTCCGCTATCGCCATAGACAATTCAGCTGTGCAGAACAAGAACTCAAGCCCTTCCCCCCAGTACTAAAGCTGTTCTCTCAGAATTTCGACCCCTCGCTCGACATTGGAACAAATTCGGCTGAAGGCACCGGCAGGAGACATCGACTCCCACAACAGCAATTTGGGATTCGGGATTCGGGATTAGGGTTTAGGGTTTAGGTCCTCCAGTTCTGCAGATACGTAATTACATAACAGCGTATGACAGGCTATGGAACATCCCAACGTGCCGGGCGGTGGCAACGAGCCGCTCAACATCTCTAAAGCCCTTCACAAACTGAAGCGGCAAAATGACCTGGCTACCTGCGAAGAAACTTTCGCAGCCCTGTCAGGCGAAAGCAAGGGAGGTGGAAAGCACGCCTTGCCATTCATTGGTGTGGGTCTGAGCATGTCGACATGGAGCACGTCGACTTGCTGATCATGCTTGCTGACAACCGCGAGCCATTCTTGAGATTCATGCCCTGGCTCTTTGCCATCTTGCTCAGCAGCTTCTCCATGCTCCCCAGCCGGTTCGCCACATGCTGCAGCTTCTCTTCGGCGCTCTCCTCCGCCTTCCGCTCATCCTCTGGCCACGGGACGGATGGTGCTGTGGGGCCGCCGTATCGGAGGATAGAGTCCTCGGTCACCGTGTGCTCATTCGCCGGCTCTTGAATCTGTATACCCCCAGCCGGGCCTGAGTCGCCTTCGTTGAATTCCAGGCGGTCTTCGAAGTGCAGCGTGCGGAGGAACCTTGCGAATCGCGCTGGGTGAGCCTCTGCCAGCACGGACACCACCACACTGGCTCGATTGAGCCGAGCGAAGCCGATGATGTCGGCGAACATGGCGCGATAGGACTCCACCAGCTGGGCGATCAGGAGGTTCATGAGGAGGATGCTAACTAACGCCATGAAGAAGGTGAGGCACACAAAGATGGGCAAGTCTTGCTGGGTCGCGCTGAAGTCCGAGGCTGGGAACATCCCGAGCACCATTTGCGCCAGCGCGCTGACCCATGTCGTGGTGTCATTAAACTCCTCCAAGTCATGCTGCAAGGAGCTCAATGCAGTGGAGAAGGTCAGGATGAGGAACAGCAGCGCAAGGAGGAAGAGGCACACCTCCGCAGCGACCCAGCCACAAACCAGCATGAATGCTGACAGCCGCATGGAGAAGACTGTGCAATCGGTCAAGAGCAGCCAGAACAGTACCATACCAATGGCGGAGAACATCGAGTAGATCCGGATCTCCTCCTCCACTCCGCAGCGCGAAGTGAAGAGCAAGTACTGGTTCTGACTGTCCATCGTGGAAGCGCAGCGGAGGATGGGCTCAAAGGCGAGCATTGCCATCAACACCCAAACCAGGGCGAGCCGACCGATCTGCTTGGCATCGGTCATGGATCTTGGGATGTGAATGGTCCGAATGGTGGAGGTCCTGATCACTTGGCCGCAGGAGTATTCAGAGGCGACATTCTTGACCACGCTGTACAGGCCACACATGCCCGCGAGGTACAGCCACAGGCGCAGCACAAAGCGCGCCACGTTTGCCTCGAACACTTCTTCGACACCGGTCTGCTCTTTCAGGATGGACTGGCTCACGAAGAAGATGCCAAGCGTGAGGAGGAACCAGAACTTGTTCCGGAGGAACTGGAACGCGGCGAACCGGCTCCAAATCAGGTCCGTCGTCAAGGCCACGACGAGATGGCTCATGATCTTCGGGTCTTTGTACCGCACAAGCCAGTGGAGTGTAGGGCTGAAGGCTCCCTTGCTGTCCTGCACCAGGTGCTTGATGTAGAGGTTCACGCGGCGGCTGCCATCCTTGGTGATCCTCGAGCGCCAAACCAAACCTTCCAAGAGAGCAATCAGCAGACTCGGAGCACTCACGCACATCTTCTGTACAATCTCAGGATGGCGGGTGAACAAGGCTTCACATCCGTAGTAGTACACGTCACGGTCGGCTCGGATCGTCAGCAAATCCTCAATGATGGCCTTTGCGCAGTTGAGCCTACCACTGTCGATGGCCCAGTACAAAGGCGAGATCGTCTGGGTACCCACAGAGATGCTCAACACGCTCATGGCCCGCTTTCCACGTGGAGCCACTGCCACGGCTTGCCGAACGGCAGACTCCTGATTGGTGTTGATCGCCCTCATCACGACCGTGGACCCTTCGAGGATGACGCGGGTCAGAATCTTAGTGATCAGTGTCAGCGACCATCGGAAGGCTGCCGATGACCTAGGACTAAGGTTGTCGATCGCCTCGCAATAAGCTTGGACCATGGGCGGAAAGTACTCGGAGGGCACACCGTACCCCACGTGGCGCAAGCCAAGACCTGAGATATCGTCTACTAGCTTCTGTGGGTTATCGTAGATGTCAATTGTCATCTCCATGACCTTGTCCGCAATGTAGTACATCCTGGTCGACGATTGCTTCATGAAGTTCTCGGCATCTGGCGCAAGCTCAAAGAAGCGTTCAAAGACCACTTGCCGCGTCCGGCTGATGCTGGCCTCGGGACACGGACGGCAGCATTCAGAAAGCAAAGTCGAACAAACGAGCGGAAAAAAACAAAACTGGACTCGATGCCCTATACAGTGAGCCAACTGCATCCGAGTACATGGGTGTCTTCCTTAATTTAGCTGACTATGTTTTGGCCGAATTTCCGCACGGGTTTCTGAACTCGGTTTGCGCTCGTTCCGTGAACTGTCTGTGTCCGTGTCTCCCCGTGTGTGTGTGTGTGTGTGTGTGTGTGTGTGCGCGGGTGTGTGCGTGCGTGTACGTGCGTGCGTGCGTGTGCGTGCGTGCGTGTGCGTGCGCGCTGGAGCCGATTTGCCTAGTCAGTCCAACGATGTCCAGCGAAGCTATGGCAAATCAGTGGATACATTCGGGGACGCACGGATGAGTACCTGCATGCTATCACAGAAGTTGTGGTCTGTTTGAGAAGCTGTGCTTGGTCATTGGTTTTGTGATACCTAACCCAAAATCAGATGTACATCATGAGCAATTGACCCTCACGTTGACAAAAGAAGGTGAACAAATCCGGCTGACAAGCGTTCCCGTGTGTGCGTGTGTGTGTGTGTGTGTGTGTGTGTGTGCGCGCGGGTGTGAGAGTCAAAGTGAATGTGAGCGTGTGTGTGTGTGTGTGTGTGTGTGGGTGAGTGTTCTCAACGCGTCTGCGTTCGCTGGCCTCGTCCAGGTTGCTCAGCAAGTTCTTGAGCACTTTGTTGTATGCTTGTGGCATGCCCATCATCTTCTTGAGCAGCTTCTCCATGTTCTCCCAAAACCAAGTCCACGCGACCTCATGGTCCATATCCCAATCTTTGGGAACCATGGACCTCAATGAAGCCAACATTACTGCCTTGAACTGCGGAAGGACGACCTGGCCGTTGTATTTTGCGAGGCGCAGAGAAAGCACATCACACTCCTCTTGCAGCCGTGTGGTGCTGGCCACATTCGTCGCCATGGCATCGAAGCGTTCGAGGAGTATGTGCATCCACTTGCAGTCGGCGCAACCCATGACCGCCACATTGAAGAGAAACATCTCGTGGAAGGTGGTGGGAACCTTCACCTCCAGGCGTGCTGTGTCATCCGACTTGTCCTTAGCTTTCCTCTTCTCGCTGGACGCCTCTGCGTCCTCTTTCCCCTCTGTTTGCTGCTGCTCCGAGGATGACATCGGCTCTTGCTCGATGTCTTCCGATTCCGAGGGCACCTCGGTCTGGTGGTGGGTGGCAATTTTCCAGCTGCGCTGGATGATCTTGACCCGTGTGCCAAACTCCCTTCGGCAGTACACCATGGCACCACCGATGTAGTTCAGCATCGCGACAATCCCCGCACGAGCGTCAGGGGTGAATTCATGGCCCAGCTCAGCATCCATGCTGGTCAAGACGGCCCCTGAGAAGACTGCCAGCCGCGCTGGAGTCACTTCGCGATCCAGGTGCTGCAGTCCGAGTGTCTCCACGGAAGACCTCAGAGTAGAGGGATTGCTGGTCATGGAAAGGATGTTGCTCAGAAAGTTGGTGAAGGTCAGCGCAAAGACTGTTCTCGGAGACTTGAACATCGACCGCAAGTTCGGGGCATCCTCAAAGATGGCGTCGTAGATGGCCAGGCCTGCGAGCTCGGCGGCGGCGTACTTTGCGAGGAAGGCCTGCCAACACTGGCGCATCTCTTCTGCCACGCCGCCCGGCAACCACAGCTCCTCGAACTCGTCCTCGTGTACCTTGCTATACTTCTGGATGGCTGCATCATTGAGCTCGTTCCTGGCGCACCTGCTGTCTTCGCTGCGGTTGAGTGATGCTGCCTCTTCTTCCAGATCACTCAAGACATCCTCCTGTCGGTCGGACATGTCGGGCATTGCACGCAGCGGCAGGTGTCCGCATGCCAGTCTACAACTCCAAAAAGACTTTGAGCCATGGCCATGTCGGGTTTGGGGTCAGGCTCCAGGCTGGAATACTGCAACGTGGTCGATGATGCGTGACGGCGATGCTGCACAAGCTCCTAGGATATCAGTGAAATGTTCTTACTGGCTCTGTTTTTTGCACGCCGTTGCAGTTTGGCTAGTGCGCAGCAGATGTGTACGGTAAGGTTTTGGGCTTTTGCTGATCATGTGTAAGAGGCACCTGCAAGTTTCTGGGACGGGTCATGGTAGACCGGAACCCCGTGTCAATTCCTTGACAGTCAGGATGTACAAGCCAGAAGTTGTTCTGGTACTGGCGGACTGGCCGGAAGTCACTTCTCTTATCGAATTTCGATTCTCACACTCCCACACGGCAAGCAAGGCTCTTGGCTTAGGCCCACTCAGCTACAGGATGGCTTCTGAGATCCGTATACACATATGCTCACGCTCTGGTGGGGGCTACTGCAGGAATGCGCTTGCTAGCGTACTACTGCATTTCGCATTGGGGAGGTCTCCCAATGCATCACCAACACGACCTTAAAACACCACGAACAATCTGCAGAGACGTGTCGACAACATGTTCTTGGCTGACGCAAAGACCTCCGCTGCAATCTGCGAAGAAGTAAAGAACCTGGTGTCTGCAAACAGGACAAGATGTTGAAAGTCGCTGATTTGTAGCAACAAAACTTCAGCTCATCAAGATTCATCAAGCCGGGTCTGTAGATTGGCTTCTACATGCTGGTGTATGAGTTCGCCTCTTCAACGTGAGACCAGCGTCACGTGAACGCAGAATTCGAACAGCAAAGATCGCGTCAGGGACTTTGATCCATTTCTTGAAGTAGACCCATATGGGTTGAATAAGACGGCGGGACAGAGTTCACAGTGGAGGCTACACGGACAGACGAAATTGATCAGAGCAGCTATTCACACAGCGTGACAGCCTCCCCAGCACACACCACAGACCGAACACATCTGTTGGCAGCACGGCGATGCCGAAATCCAATGAGGGAGGCTCCACTTCGAACACTGACAACGCTGGGACGAAAGGTGCTGGCAGATTGAGGAGGACGAAGTTGCCAGGCAGCCATTGGATGAATGAACCAAGCAAGCACAAGCAAGCACGAGCAAGCAACAGCACGCACGCACGCAGAGCCTTTGAGAGGCTGCTGCTATTCAAGCTGATCGAGGCGCATCCAAGTTCCCTTTGAGGCCCGGAGTTAAGGGTTAAAGTTTAGGGTCATATTAGGAATTGCCCGGACCCCAGTTGCCAGTTCTTGCTCAGGATATTTTGAGGGTTTTGCTTGGACCAGCTTTCCAACCTTTCAGATGTTTCGATTTTCTTGCCCGCACCAGTTCTCCCAAAAAACACGGTTATTTCGAGGTCACGCTTCGAATTTTCCGAAAACTCGGACAATCGGCAAAATGAGCAAGACCAAAACCCCCGAGAGCCCCCCAACAGGAGAACATGAGGCTTTTAGAGTTCCAACCCAAAAAACGACATAAGCAGAAGGATTCTACAAACATGGCTTGCGGAGAATCCCCTTATTTTGTAGGGGCCCTTTTGCCCCAATAGCAGGATCCTTATGTTTTTGTGATGTTTGGTAGGAAAGCAGTGTGCGCCCCAACGGGCAAATGCTGGCTTGTCCATAGCCCATCATAGCAGATCGCAAGATCGGATGTCTTTTGACTTGGAAGTTACATCTTTAGCGCGATTGTGGATGCATCTTCGGTCAGATACGGTATTGTAAGCATACATACGTGCATACATACATATATATATATATATGGCCAGGCGTGAATGCGCGTTGTACGTTGTAGGGTTTCTTCCCATCCCAGGGGCCTAACAGCAGTCTGCCTGGACCGCAGAAGGGACACTACCTACTGGGACAGTTACTGTACCCTGCCTCTGAAACCAAATCAAGACTTTGTGAGCTACATTGTGCTTAGGACAGTGTTGACAACAAATGGCTTCTTCACTGCCGTTTCTCATGTAGATCATGCTAGTGCAACGCGAGATGCGAACTCTACGTATCCCTTCAGGGTTTGCCTGGTCCAAACCATCTCTTGAACTGGGGAACACCAAGCAAATCTCACGTGTTCTGGGTCACATACCAACCGATGCCAAAGCAATCGCAGCACTCTCACACCTTTCTCCACTGCCCTCGTCATCGAAGCGCCGCTGCAATATCATGCCGTAGTAGACGTGCCTCAGATGAGGCATCCGAACGCTTCCATACACCTGCAGGTGAAGTGGGTGCTTGCAGGGTTGGCTGTGGTGGCAGGGCAGACCCGGCCATGGCTTCCAACGTCTTCGCCGCGAGAGAGCCTTCTGATCGAAGTTCAGAAGCACATGCAGCGTCCCGTAACCCATGCATTGCAATGCCCAACGCAGCCTTCATAGCTTTGACAAACGGCGGGATAGGCAGAACAACAGATCCTGTTGCCAGCACAAGGGCTAGGGCAAGCTCGGATGGTGAGCATCCACCTTGCGCCTGGTGAAGTCGATGACCAGCGAGGCATCCTCTTCGACAAGTCTCCCCAGGCTGTGAAGACGCAGAGCCCTCCGCACCGCGGTCTTCGCAGTCGGGCTCCACGCTTTGCTTGCTTTGCCTGGGCATGTCATGCGGTCCGTTGCAGTCCTGCTCGGCGGCGTTCGGCGCCTCCAGGTTTGAGGAACAATTGTCCGACAAGCTCCTGGTGTAGCACAGGGCCTAGGAGGTTTTGCATAGATTCTTGCACACTGGGCATGTCCACCTGACAACCCGAGACGACCGAAGGGTGTAGGGTACAGGGTTCAAGCACCCCAAGGCTGGCTCAGGGCTTCAGAAACTGCTCCAGATGCTCCAGTGCGTCGGGCTGTATTGGGCGTAGGGCCCTTCATTAAGCAGAGGGATCCCGCACCCGAAAGACTCAGGAGGACATAGGTGATGGGCACAGGACCTGCGGCCCAAAGGCACAGGCTCACAGGTGCCTGCCTGCAGGAAGCGCGCCACTAGTTCAGCCTCATTCAACCCTGAAGGAGGGTGGCAGAACTGAATCTTGTGCTCTGATGTGTGCAGGAGCCTATAGCTGCTGGGCTGGCATGCCAGGAGACACGGCTTCAAGACTCTGGCGATGCTCACTCGAGGCTCTTTGTCTTAGTCTTCGCTTGGACAAGACTGGCCAAGCTAAGCTGAGCTCGTGCAAGCTTGGTGCTGGTGGTGGCTTCAGGCTGGCCAGTCGCCGCTCCGAAATATCCATCGTGGGCCACGGGCTCTGCCGGTCAGCACGGGTGGTCACCATGGAGGCATGCCGCCCTGGCAGGTCTGGCTGCAACAGCGTTCGGGTGCAGGGTTCCAGGCTTTGCAGGGGAAAGCTTGCTTTGGGGCCAAACAGAGAATACCCCTAGTAAGGTGAGTCTCAGGCGAGCTTGGACCTCAAAAACGAGCCCCGGCAAAGGGAGGCGACCTGGCCGAAGTAATATATGGACGAATCACGAAAAGGCGCTTGACTTTCCCTCCTCTCATCTCGCCCCAGGAGTAGTTAACAAGCCCTGACCCCGAACCAGCCTCGACGGAAGGTGAAGCTTCGACGAATGGGGGAGGGCTCGACGAAGGCCGGACGGCTTGAACGAGCCTTGTCCACGATTTGCGCGACGACGGTCGCCCGTTTCGGGGTCCCTATCGTTCTCCCCGGGTGGCTTTGTGGCAAGCAGCGCCAAGTCGGCGGGACGTCTGAAGGACCAGGGGAACCACAAGTACGTGCCGTCATGTCCGACTTGGGTATAAACAGCGAAGGACAACGTCGCAGACAGCTGGTCACAGCCGGCAACTGTGGTACAAGCACCCGGTGTTGCGGGGAGAGTTCAGACCCATAAGGAGGACGCTGGCAAAATCTTTGGGCAGTGTCAACAGCAAAGACTCTGCACGCACACGGGCTGTTCCTTCAAGAACTTTTTTCTCCTCCTGGCCTAGGCTCCAGGCAGACGTGCGTGAAGCGTGGCACCGCACTGAAGTGTGCGCATCCATGCAGTACCTCGTCTCTGGCTCGTTCTATTCCAGTCCCAACCCGTCAAGCGAGGGGCTCCTAAGCATAAACCTCTCTGTAGTGGTAGCGAACGTCAACCTGAGGGAGTCGCACTTACGGCACTCTCTCGCGGCCGAGTTTTCGCACAGCAACTCAATGAGCATCACGCCTTTTGCGAGCAGCTCATGTGCGGGTCTGCCAGAAGCTGGGCATTCCACGCGCTATGGAGAACCCCAGGAGATCCCTCATAATGAGCTCCCTGTAAAAACCATCGCGGGTTTTTTCCAGAAACTTACCGTGTCCGTCTTACTTGCACACGCTGGGCAGGAGCGTAGCGGCAAGGTGGTGGCATGGCAGCTTGCGCGAGCTTACTTGAAACGTGGCCGAGCCTGGCTTACATGGACCCTTACTCGGACCTGAAGCGCGTGGAATCTTTGCTTATGCGAACCCTGGGTTTCCGGAAGCCTCTTTCATGTTTCCTCTTGGGTAGTTACAGATGGTTTACGGCATGGTGCAGGTGGTTTTGCTCACATGCGTCACATTGCATGTCTCCGAATGCATCGGGGTACGTCTTGGGAAGGGTCGACATTCAAACAGGAGATGCTGGTCTGTCAGCTGTCAGCCCACAATTAACACCGTTAGCCCATATCTTGCAAAATCGCAGGCCTTCTTATCCCGATCTGGTCATCGCCACACCCCGGCCACCGAGAAGACTATGTGGTCCTAAGGTCATCAAATCATTCAAAACATTTTCCCAAGATCGCAAACGGATATGATCCTAAGCCGTACGCCAGGCAAAGCTACGATCATACACGAATGTTCGAAGGCAATAGGCGTTTGGGCCACATGAGGTTTGATCGCTCACCATTCGGACAACCCGGACGAGACAGGCAAGGATGCCATGTCAGTATGCTTGTGTCGGACTGATCGCGAACTCCAATCAGGGCCAGCTG